GGAGCAGGAAATGTTTGGTATTCTGGGCTTTGGTGGGGAAAGATGCTGTCCCTCTTGTTGAACAACTTGGGGTGGAGATGGCTGTAGGGTTTTTTCCCCCTGCTTTCTTTGGTCTTTTGCACTGTCCATTACAAGTAGGATCCTGATGTGGTCTTACCAGGTGACTGGCTTGTGAGTAGTATTTGGTTCCTTTTGTTCACAGATCAGATTGTAACTGGAGCCTGAGATAATTCAGTGCCAGTTTGTGCAAGGTGTTCAGAGTTATTGTTTTCACCAGGTGGCAGCTGGGTTGCTCTACAGCTGCAACTCTGTCTGGTGGGCTCCTCCCCCAGCATGGTGGGGTAATTCAGTTTTGAGTACTGCCCTTAGTTCCACTAGACCAGTTTAGCCTGCTTTGGGAGGTTGGCTTTTTGCCCCAACCCTGCTCTTAGCCTTTGTTACTTTTTCTGTCTTAGTTCACTGAGAATTCAGCTTCTTGCCCCACCCCTGTTCTCTGGGGCAGGTTCAGTGTCCCACCCCCACACACACTGCAGGTGTTAAGAGTATAGTTCACTGTTTGTGCTTTTCAGTTTTACTGATGGGAGGATTCAATGTGCCAGGGGTGCTGGATTATTTTCCTGGGGGTGGGGTAGGGTAGTCACTCATGGTGCTTGTTGCTCACCTGTTCATTTTGCAGGTTTATGCAGGCAGCTTTGGAACCAGCTGGTGGAGAGAAACAGCATGCTGCTTTTCTCAGTGCCCTGGGCATAGGGAGACTTTCCACGGGTTAGGGGTCCAGGATGACACAGAGTTGAATTTTGATTGATGCTCTGTCTTCTGCTTATTGAGAGGGGAAAAAAAAAAAAGAGAGAGAGAGAGAGAGAGAAATGGCCTGGGGGCTTTTTTCCAGGGCAAATATGCCCTGCTGGCTGTGCCATGCCAGGATTTTCCTGCCTGTTAGCTGTAATTCAGAACTGTTTTAAGGATCAGTCCTTGAATTTTATGTTCATCTAATGTGCTGGGGGTTATTATTTTGGCTAGAGGCAATCAGAATTACCCAAGTGTTGCTCCCACGTTGCAAGGTGATTTCTAAAGTCACGAAGCTCAGGAATTCTGATTTCCTACCCTAACTGCCATCTTGCCTTCATTTTTGAAGGAAAGTTTCACTGTATGTAAGGATTCCAAGTGATGAGGTGTTTTTCTTGGATGACTTTTAAAGTATGAACTCCTTTTCTTCTGACTTCTGTTATTTCCATTGCAGAGTCAGTAGAATTTCTTGTCTTTGCTCTGCTCTATGTTGTTTTCTCTAGTTGCTTTTTAAAGATGTTTTTCTTTATTAGTGGTTTCCGGCAATTTGATCTTGAATGTGCCTTGTGGTTCTTTTCTTCATCGTTACCCTGCTTGTTGAAGAATAACTTTGTGGATCTCTGTGTTTATAAGTTTTTATCTAATTTGGAAAATGACTCGACATATTTCTTCAAATATCTCTTCTCTCTACCTACCCATATTTCCTATAAATATATATATTTAAATTACTTGTTATACAGTTCACTAAAACACTGTTCATTTTTGTCTTTTTTTTTTTTTACTTTTGGATATTGGATATTGGTGTATCTTTATGTTTGCAGATCTATTCTTTTTTTGTGTGTGTGGTACTGGGGCATAAACTCAGGGTCTTCACTTTGATCCACTCCACCAGCCCCATTTTTGTGATGGGTATTTTTTCCCCCACTGCTCCCTACCCCCTCTCCCCCTACCCCTCTCGCTTCCAGGCAGAACCTGTTCTGCCCTTTTCTCCAATTTTGTTGAGGAGTAGACATAAGCAATAATAAGAAAGACAAAGCATTTTTGCTAGTTGAGATAAGGATAGCTGTAAGAGAGATTCCTAGCATTGGTTCTATGCACAAGTGTGTTACAATCCAAATTGTTTCATCTCTACCTGACCTTTTCACTAGTTCCTGGTGATGGGTATTTTTGAGATAGGATGTCACAAACTGTTTACCTGGGCTTGCTTCAAACTGCAATTCTCCTGATCTCTGCCTTCTGAGTAGCCAGAATTACAGGCGTGAGCCACAGATGCCTGGCTGCAGATCTATTCTTTTATAGCACCTAATGTGCCATACTTTGCATTTCTCATTTTGGATATTGTGTTTT